AAGTATTGGTCTCTTGTGGTGTGTGTGTGTGTGTGTGTGTGTGTGTGTGCGTGTCTGTGTGTGTGTGTGTGTGTGTGTACAATCTGAAGTGGGTAATTTAATTGGGAGCTGTCGCCTGCTGTTCCGTACGTTCTCCCTCTTCTTTGTGTTGGTTTCTAATATGAATCAAATCTTTACTCCAGTTCTCCAAAAACCCTTATTGACAATTATTTAAATTTTTTTATCAGTTCACTGAACCAAGACAAGAAAAAAAAAAACAAGCACACAGTCATAATATTTCCATCCACAACAGAATAATGGTCTGATAAGCACCTGCTGATTGAAGCGAGGTCAGCTGTTCTGGACCATAGTACACTCAATACCTTTCTGCCAGCGCTGTAACTTTACGTTTTCATCGCTTACACAACCACATGCTCAGATCCTCAGAGGGGGAGAGGTGCCAAGTTGGCAGCGGTAGCACAAAGTAATCACTACACCCAGCTGCATCTCCCGCAAAATATCAGGGAAAACAAAGGTGAGGCTCAGAAATATGTGTTTTAGATGCATAGATATACAAAAACAAGTATGAGGCAACTAATACAGTTACAGATGAGGACATTTTGAGATTATAAAATGTTTCCAGTTACTCTGACAGCTGGTTTTAGTTTGTAGAGACTCTGGTTTATAAGCAACAAAACCACCAGCGATCGAATCAAATAAGAAAAGGTAAAGGTCCAGTGTGTAAGATTTAGGTGAAAGAGATCTAATTTAATATAAAATACTCCCTGTGATGTTTTCTAGATGTCACTAAATTCTACACACTGAACCTTTAAGGGAATTAAAACGACTTTACATTTTTATTTAAGTCAAAACTGTTTTAGAACCCGACCCGATGTATCAGTTGTCGGGGATGTGTGTGTATTTGTGTTTTTATTTATAGATATTTATGATAAAATTTATGGTTTAATGTTAAACATCAAACCTCACTTAGGTATTGGAATTTTTTTACTCCTTAATATTGCACCTGCCCCCAAAAAATCCATATTGTTCGGGCTCTAAACTGTTTATATACACAAGCAGTGAGTAAAAATACTGGGTAAAGATGTGAAATGAGACAGAAAACCTTCTGCAGACGTACAGTCGTGTGTCCTCACTAATCACGAGGACTTTGTGCGTTTCCTTTCACAGCCTGGTGGTGTCACCTAAACTAGACCCCACCACTGATCCCCTCCCCTCTAGTAACCACCCCTCGAGTCCCCCGGTCGATCTTACCTCTCCGGTTTCTCCGCTGCATCACACTAACCCCTTCTGCCGCTCACAGACCTCACCACCTCCCCTATCCCCCTGCAACCCTTTCTTCTCCGTCCTCCAGCACAACCCTTTCTATGACGACGTGCTAACCACTCAGCCCCCAACACCCCCATTGCCTCCTCTGCCCTATCTCTCCAGCTCCCGGCCCCCCATAGCTCAGCTCTTTCCGCAGGCGAGCAACCCCAACCACACTCTGACCCACGACAGCCCAACCACAGAGGACTCCTTCGTTGGCACAGATGTTGCAACGAGTGACCGGATGGCCGAAGTTGAGAAACATTTAGGCAAGGAGTTCTCCGACACTTTTATGTCCGCTGGGCAGCCGGAGCCAGATTCAGAGTGGGACGAGTCTTTTGAAGCGTTTGCAGCTGGCAGGCTGCAGCCTCCAGAGGACCTGAGCACAGATTGCAAAACACAGCAAAACAAGCCCAGTGACCATCCACTGGAAAACTGCAATAATAAAGAAACATTACTCTCCATAACGGATCAGAACACGAGTGTAAATGACGCACTACGTCACCAACCCTGCAGAAAAGACCCGTCCCAAGAAGACACTGACGCATTTGCACAGTTCCTTGAAACAATCCCAGAACACATCAACACTGAGAGCGACAACACAACTTTGAATCCTGCTGATCTATCAAACCTTGATGCTTGCACGGAAACTAATCGAGCTAACAGTACCACTAACACAAATATACCCAACACTAACATGCACCAGACCCCCTGTAACACTTCATCCACACAGCTCAACAGCAGCTCCCTGGATCCTGCTTCGTCGGGTCTCGGCAGCTCGGTCGAGGACGAGTTCCTCTCCTGTCTTTCTTCTTATCCCGATAAATTATCTGCATCCTCCTTCGAGGAAGCTGAGGCACGGAACTTTGAGAGCAACATCCAACATCCAGAGTCCGCCGTGTCTCAAAATCCAAAGCCCTCAGAATCTGAAGATGACATTAGCGACAGGTCAAATGATTGGACGGCGTTTGATGTCGCACAGCAAACTGTTATCCAGCCGCAGGATAGGGAAGGAGGTCCTGACACTTCAGAGGCACCGCAGTCCCCATTGATTCCACATCAGGAGCTCGAGATCACGAGAGAGACACAAAGAGAAAGTGCAGATACCGAGACGCTTAACATTTCCAACGACTTGCTGCCGAAGCTCTCTGAACTACAACTGGAATCCAACGTCTCTTTACCGTCTGATGATGAAAGTGCAGGAAAAGGCCCCGATTTGTTTGAAAGCTCTTTAGTGGATTTCTCTGAGGAGTTTGATGATAGTTCTGACAACAACAATAAACATGTGAACATCCTCGTGACTCCAGACGACGAATTCTCCTCCACACTCCCATCGTTATACATCCTGACCTCCTCCCCTGATCTGAAGCAGCGTTTGTTGGACACCAGTTTAGGGCGTCGGGAGGCGAGCCGGTCTACTCCAGTCTCATTTGGGGCTTTCGGTGAAACCAGACCCGGCCTCGACCTCGACAGCACACTGTTGCACACTCAGGTGTCTGATCAGAGCTCCAGCAGCTTCCTGCAAAGTCTTTATGTCAGCACTGACTCGCAAGATTACCAGACTTGTGCCTCTCACCCGTCCTCCAGCGTCTCTGAGTTCGAAGAGACGCTCTGCGGTGAGCTGAGCGACATTCAGACAACTGCTGACGCTGCTTTGGGCCGAGAAGAGTCCACCAGTGCATCCACGTCGTCGAACAGAGAAATCAACCAAACCGACAGATTTGAAGAATCCCGTCGTGGAGGCGATGACGGGACAAAGTTCTCGATGGGGGATGATTTTGGTCTAGAAGTTCTCCCTGCAGCACTTAAAGACTCCGAGGACAGCTGCGGTCCAAAGACGCTCGATGAAGAAGGTGAGGCAAACCAAAGCAGTGTCTTCGATGACGAGTTCTCAAGATATACTCAAACCCAGTCTGCCACACTACACCGCTCCCACTCTGAGGGAACCCTGACGCCCGGCTTTGACGAACTCCTCCTGCCCTCCTTCGGGAGCGACCCCGGTGCGATACAGGAGTCCTCCTCGGCTCAACCAGACCCCGCCCTCCCTTCTCTGACCTCCTTTGCTCCCTCTCTAACTCCTAGTAGCTCCCATGTAGTGCTCTGCTCCTTCCCTCCCCTTGCCAGTGCGTTGGTGAAGTCACCGCCCAGCACGGCACAAGCTGCCGTGCCAGAGCCTGAGGAGACGCAGGAGCAGCAGCAGGAGGCAGCCAGTCAGCAGAACAGGTGAGGTTGCACATGCTCGGTGAGAAGGTGGAGGGGATCCAGCTTCCAGAATTTTCTATCCTGTCGTCTTCTTCAGTCTTCTTCTGCCGCTCCGCTTCTGCCGAGTCACCAGCTCTCAAGGGGTTTTTTCCTTTTGTGGTGTGACCTTCTCTTTTTCATCTCACACACACACACACTGACGTTAACAGGACTCCTCTGCAGGTGTCTTGTGTGTGGTGACAGGAGGGGAAACAGAGCCTCAGGCCAATTAGCAGTTATTATTTTGCCCTGATTATTTCCACACACACACACACACACACACACACACACACACACACACACACACACACACACACAAACCTCCCCACAGGGCTGGCAGCCACACTCATTTGCCAAAACCTCCACCAGAAACCAGGCTGGATTCGAGGCAAACAAGGTGTTGTTGTGTCACTGATAGCATTTCCTTTTCACCTCGGGGTAATAACACATTTAACACACTTCTCCTTGTTTGATTGCACCAACGCATGCAATTAAGTCTTTCAGTTTCGAGCTCATTTAATTTCAATTTTCACCAGCGTTTCCTTCAGCGAGGACTCTCACCCTGTCTAACCTGCATCCATGTCTGGTGTCACGCTGCAGGTCTACAGAGCAGTCTGCTATAAGATAATGATGAAACCTGTAAATGTAAAACCAGCGCTGTCGCGGCATGAAGTAAAATAAGGTTCCTTCTAAATGTAGGTCACCGACACAGGAAGTTGTTTTTCCTGTTATTGTAATATTGTAATTTGAGAATGTCCCTCATGCTGGCCTGAACTGAAGTAATAAGACGGTGGCGTGTTTGAACCCATGTCAAATATTTCAGAACATTGACAATATTTCTCTGATGTCGTGACGCTTCCCAAAGCAAATCAGGGTTGTGTTACGTGTAATTTTCAGAATAAAGCAATGTCGGTGTCACCACAAAAAAGCTGACATTTGAGCCATCTCAGAAAAAAATCGAATACATTTGGTGGAATAGAAATATGTTGTCATCGTTCTTGATCCCGTTTATCATCTTATGTAACTGAAATACATTTGTTTGAATTTCATTTGAATCATCTTGAGGCTGCGAGAAATGGTCCAGAGCTCCAGAAAAAAGTTGTAGTCGAACCTGGACGGAGGAAGGAAAAATCAATGTCAACACTTTATTCTCTAAATTCAGTTCCTCTTCATCCGTTTAACTTTGTAGGATCACGTCACACAAAGATCAAAATGACTATAGACCTGCAGCGCGGTGACCAGACCGGGTTCCTTACATCACTTAAAGTCACCTGTTGAACAAAGGTGTTGCCGCTGTATCACGTGTAATACCTGACTCTATGTACTGTATGTATTTCTGGCTGGTGTCCCGTCCAGCCCCCACCCAGTGAGGCCCCTGACCACTGCCGTGCTGGCTGAGGAGAAGCGGACTGAGGGCCGGTCAGTGCTGGCCACCGGCCTGGAGAAGCTCAAGTCCACCATCCACCCAGGGAGGAGCAGCCAGATCAGCGAGACGGAGACGGACCGGAGGAAGGTGCAGTACATCCGTCATTTTAATATCGAGAGTAAAACTGCAATACAGTAGAGAAAAGTCAAGGAAAGTGTTTTCATTCTTGTTACAAGGCACTATACTTTCATAACTTACAGATGAGTCATTGTGCTTAAAGTATAATTAAAGTTTGATAAATTAAAATCCACAGAAATGTTTGAACTGTCTGTACTCGTCTGTGATGAACTGGTCTTCTGTTCACGATGATAATAATAATTCATAATTCAAGTTTTTATTTTACCTCTGTTTTATAAACTGAATAACTAGAATAGTACTCAGTAGAGTGGACATCTCCACCAAGGCCCAACTGTCTCCTTAAATTAAATCAAGCTGCAACAAATCACACTCAGAAGTCAGTCCCACAAATGTCCGATGTTTTGTTTTCAAATGACTGGATCTGCCTCTTCGTCCAGGTTCTTTCTTCTTTCTCGATCTTTTCATCCGGTTTTCTTGAAATCTCTTCAGTAGTTTTTGCTTCTGACAAACATAAACAAACCAGAACCAAATGGCCAGGGGGTGAAAACATAACCATCGCACCGCTCTTATCGTTTGTTGCTTCCCTCTCTCTGCCCCCAGTCTCTGACCGAGGGGGCGGGATCGTACTACCACCTGACCCACAGCGAACTGGTCGCCCTGCTGGTGCAGCGGGAGGCGGAGCTGCGGCGGCAGAAGGCGGAGTTCGAGCATCAGAGGGTCCTGCTGGCCAAGCGGGAGGTGGAGCTGAGGAGGCTGAAGCCGCAGGTCCGAGATCTGGAGGACTACATCGACACGCTGCTGGTGCGCATCATGGAGCAGAAGCCCACGCTCCTGCAAGTGCGCTCCAAGTTAAAGTGACGAAGGATTTTGCAGTCCAATCCTCATCCGTTCACTCTTAACCTCCACAACAGCTCTTTAGTCTTTTCACTGCTACGCTGTCCTTTTTGATACCAATATTTAGGCACCGAGAGATGTCGAGGCGTCGTGTTCCGGCCGGCGTGCTTTACTGCGCTGTAACATCCTTGTCTAAAGGTGGCTGGGGCGGTTCTGAATGTAGCGGGTCCTCAGGTTGTTTTCAGGTTCACATGGCAAGTTGGGTTTTTTTTTTAATGCTCACAGAGGAGTGAGCGGGTCTAAAGACCAGGTTCTTCTTCGGTTCCTCCTTTTCACCTTACGTCTCACTTCTATCACCTTAACACGAGAGAGAGAGGGACTGCAGAGGTTTCAGTCCGTAGCAACGCACGAACAACTAACATCGCACTCGTCCATTAAATGCAGATTGTTGCATCTGTTCCAGATTCCAAAGACTAACATAACTTTTTAGATTCATGTCCTTCTTTGAGACAGACATTGGTTTCGGTTTATTTCAGCGCAGCATGAAAATCAGTGTGTGGAGACTTGAAACCAGCTCGAGAAGAGAAACATCTTCTCAGTTTTGTCCTTTTTTGTTTCTTCGCTGTGCATTTCAGAACAGGAGCTGTTCGACCTGCCAGATATTTTTCAATTCGTGGATCAATCAGTAGCTCTACAAAAAGTCAGAAATGGATGATCAATGTCATAATTTGTCTGTGAGGTGACGTCCTAAACATTCCTGTTTTGTTAGAGTCACACTTCAAAACAAAGAGATATTGATTTTACTGTAAAAGTTCAATTCAAAATTGAGAAGCATAAACAATAAATTAAAACATTAATAGATTAGGAAAAAAATCAGTGGAACACCTAACACCTCTGAAAAACTTTTAAGTAAAGGCAACAAAATAATTAGTCCCATTAGTTTCAAATATCTGCAAGTAATCTTTCTTGCTTAACTGAAATGAACTGGAGCCAGTAGCTGCCTTGAAGGACGGAAAGTTGAGCTGAAATTGATTAATTGCTTAATTTAGTTTTTTTAAATATTTGGTGAATTCTCTAATTCTAAAAAATAGTTTCTGGTCTAAAGAAAAATAAATCGTTATTTGTAGAATCATCTCCCTGATGCACAGTTTCTATTTAATGGGTCAAAACATGTAAAACCATCAGTGTGTTTCTGATCACGACAATCTTTTGCAGATGTTTGTTGTTATGGATCGACTCTCTACAGATGCATCGAGTTCTGTGACCGGTTTTAGAAAACTACAAAACCAAATGAGCGGCGTGAGAGCTCGGCCTCGCCACCTGCACGTTACCGGGAAGTGATTGTAGCGTACGAATGTTCAAAAGTGTTCTTAGCCAACAGGTGAAGGGTTTTCATTTCCTACGCAGGACATGTGGTGTTTATGCTTGTTTTTTCCTCTTGAAATTACCCATAATGCTCAGCCACATAAGCTAACTGGTGGTCGTATGGGTCACGGTGTTATCAGGCGAAGACGGCATCACTCAGTATCGCCGCAGCTCCTCGGATCTCATGCTTCTGCCTTCTGCCCATGTGCTCGTTATCGACACGGCTCCGATGTGCTGGTACTTGACTCCCACTCCCCCAGTGTCTGTGTGTCACATCCGCTTCGCCTCAGGCACGCATAGCGCTACAGCTTCCAGGTGTTTATAAAGGGATATATACCACACGTTACAGCATATATTGCCGTATTGAAATGCCAAACACTGCCTTATTTTTTGCTTTGTTTTGAAGCTCATTAAGAATCAAGCACTTCATTTTGCTCGTCGGGGCTCGGGGCTGGTTTTGAAAAAGAAAAGCCATCTGTTCACCCATTTTTTTTTCCTTCTGATGCTTTGTTATGATATTGTTTGGATCACTGCACAAAAATAAATTGTATGCATACCAGTAGAAACCGAGCGGAACAGGGATTTCCTGTGACATGCCAAAAAAAAGCCTTGAAACTTAATCTATGGAGCAGATTGATACACCATGAAGTATTCTGATATTCTGATATGATGCCACTTTTAACAGCATTCGTGGATGTTCTTGCACTATTCAACCATCAGAACATGACTCTACTGTACCTGTCCGATGTCGGTATAGTTAGATCTACTTTACACCCTACTGCACTTTCTAATCGCTCTGTGATTTTAGCACTCGGCCTTTGACACCACGACAACGACTAGCCAGTGAGCTTGAAGCGTTACAAACTCGTCCATCACCGTCTTTCCATCTCAGTTCTCGCTATGCGACGGCAATATCAAGTGCGTAGATGACTGTAGAGACATATTCAGTGTGACTCGGCACTTTCGCAGCGCAGTCCTCTTCCACGTCTTCCATTTTGAAAAAGGTTTTTATTTAAATTGATTGTTCCTTGTCCTTGATTGTGTAGCCAGTGGAATGTGCGTAAGGTAGTATGTAAGATTGGAAAGTTTACAACTCGTGATGCAATTCTGTTTCACAAATTTTGTATATTTAATAAAGAATATTTTGTGTTTCTTGCTCACTATATGTTTGGTTGTGCAACTTTCTCCGGTGGTGTGTGTTTTTGTGAGCGATACGTTTTCAAGTTTGCATTCAGGGTTATTTTCTGGCAATTTTGCAACTGCTCCCATTTCACTAAAACATAAACATGTAGATATTTTAAATAGAGAATCTAGTTTCAGGTCTTTTTATATCAGTGTTAGGAACAAAGGTCTATAATTTAAAATGATTTACATTTTATAACAGACATATAGTTAAAAGTTAAAGGTCCAGTGTGTAAGATTTAGGTGAGATGTAAAATAATCCTGGTGACATCTTCCCTAGTGTGTTTCAACTAAATAGTGTGAATTGTTGATTTCTTTGGGTGAGGTGGGGGGTGTTCAGCTGCAATATGCAACTTCACCACTGGATGTCACTAAATCCTACACACTGAACCTTTAATAAATATTTAATAATAAAATGTAATCAGTGGAAGTGTTGGGTGTAACTCATCACAGTGAAACTTAAACAGTTCACCACATTTCTGATTTCTCAAGCAGAACTGACAAAAGCTGCAGTTACACCTGTTTCACCTCTAAGGTCTTTATCGGTTCTTTGTGAGGAGAGATGACAAAGACGTTCCTTCATCTTGTGTAATTTTGTTTTGTTGTACTGAAATGTGAAATTAATTGTTTTTAGTTTGGTCCACCCCCTGCAGAAGTGAATACAGATTTTTTTTTTTATTATGATTTATATTCATGGTCATTTTCAATTTAGAAAAACAACATTGTATATGAACGCTCACATGTATGTCTTCATAAGTGGGGTAAAGTGAAATTTTCTGTAAAAGACAGAAATAAAGAGATATCAACAAAAAGGAAAAATCAAGTTAGGTTATAAAAATAGTAATTAAATAAACCCAGCAGTTCCAGTGCATAGATAATAAAAGACATAACAGAAAAACCCATTTCAGACAGAAACCATAAAAAATAAATTGATAATCCCAAATCTAATCCATATCCACCACAAGGGTTTGTTTGGACTGTAACGTGTGTTGTATTAAAATATAAAAGGAATGGATCTTTTTATTTTCACCCCCTACACAAGTGAAGACAGATTTATTTTTAAGATGATGATTTATATTTATATATATAGGCATTTTTAATACTAATAACAATATAAACTCTTGCATGCACGGCCGTAAAATAGGGTTGAAAAACAAAAAAGAAAACTTAAATTGAATAACAACAAAAGCAGTTAAATTATTACAGAAAAACAATCAAAGTCACCACTAGGGGGCTACGTTATCATCTTTAAAGCAGCACAGGTGTGAAGTAATGAAAAGGGCTCGGCAGTAGGTGGTTTGACAGGTGCACCTTGGAGTTGGTTGCTACCCGCCGATAAACCAATCCAAGAAGAAAAAGACACAGTTCCGTAAGGGGAAGAAGAAAAGGAAGTAGGATATTGAGACACACAGTGGATGGCAGTAGTGCACCTTGATGTTGGCTGCCACCCACCAATAAACTGAAAGAAGAAGAAGGTAGGAAGAAGAACACAATCACCATGGGGAGATGGAATAGGGGAGATGCTCTGCTCCAGGCATCAACCTGGTTTTGCAGTACCTGCAGGAACGGTGCATCTTGATCTTGGCTGTTACCGTCAATAAACCAAACAAAGAAGAAAAAGATCCCTCATCTCTTCAAAAATATTAATACTTCTTAAATCAGGAGCAGGATCTTCAATTCCATTCTGAATCTCACAGGGAGCCAATGAAGAGAAGCTAAGACAGGAGTAATATGATTGTTTGTTCTACTAATAGTTCTAGAAAGCTGTTCTTGATATAGTTTTATGTGTTGGTCAAATGACATGTTCTGGTCAAACATAACTCCAAGGTTTCTCACAGTTGAGCTAGAGGCCGAACTAATACCGTCCAATGCGACTGGTCAGACAGTGATTCTCTGAGAGATTTAGTTTTGACTTTAGAAGTAAGAAGTTCTGGGTCATCCAGGCCTTGATGTTGTTGAGACTTTCCTGAAGTTACGCTATGATTAGATTCATCAGGCTTCATAGAAATGTACAGCTGGGTGTCATCTGTGCATCAGTGACAGTGTATGAGGTGCTTTTTGATGCAGTTGCCGAAAGGAAGCATGTACAAAGTGAAAAGTGTCGGTCCAGGGACAGAATCTTGTGGAACTCCGCAACTAACTGTTATGTGCATGGATAAGTTATTGATTCCAAATCCTGCTTGAAAGCCTTCAAATAAAATAAAATGAATGTGCAAGTAATCACATGACTGGATCTTGGAAATGAAGGGAAGGTTTAATGTTGGTCTATAATTAGCTGAGTATCTGAGTCAAGAAGCTAGATAACATTAGGTATGTTCAGTGGTGTAGTGGTGCCTGGAGAAGTGGGTATACTCTTAATTTATGCCACAGAGTGTTTTTAAAGCAGCCCCTCCAGCAAAGGATAAATGAAGTGTGCAAGTGTGTTTTAAGTAGAAGTAAAGGAGTAAATATGAAAACATATGATCGATGCCACAGCCAGTGGTGGGGGAACTCTACCTGAGCCCCGTCTAAGGTATTTACATCTTTTCCACATCAGGTATCAGTCTCTCCTTGCAACTGTCCTAAAAATGCTAGCCCTCTATATTACATTGAAATGTGAATTGAGTGACTCTGGAACTGTATGTATCATAAACATCCATGCATCAGGACATCACAGGACTGAAGCATCAAAGAGATTACATTTTGATTTTGGTGGCCTACCGCCTGTAAACGGAACAGAACACCCCGCGATAAACCGGTAAACAGTTTTTAGTGAATTTCAGGACAATATTACCATCCAAATGGAACAAGGAGACGGACCACACATTAGAAATAGTAAGTACTTTAATTGTTATTTTACATGTATCTCTCTGACGTACAGTCAGTGTTAAAAGATGACTGATTTACAGATTAATTCTACGAATGGTAAAAGTAATATATATTTCTCTCTCTGATTTGCAGACGTGATATTAGACCTTTATATCAACAGAATTGTGCCACTAGCTGATCAAGACATTCAGATTATTGCTGTGTTACAAAACATGACCGCAGGAACTGAACTGGAAATAAGAGTGCATTATTTTGACATCAATCATATCAATAACGAAAACAGTGAAGATCATAATGATGGCGGCACACACCTCCCTTTAGAACCCCCACATGAAGAGGATATAGTTCCTGATGCTGGTGTTGAATACCAGGAACCCAGGAGAAGTTCAAGAGAGGGGGATGAACAGGAGAACAGTGACGCCGAAGACGACACCAGTGACGACACAGATGACGACACAGATGACGACACAGATGACGAAGATGACACTAATGATGAAGACGACGCCGATGATGAAGACGATGGCGACGACGACAACAGTGACGAAGACAATGACGACCATGATGTCGACAATGTTGACAATGACGAAGATGACAACGATGACGATGACAACGATGACGATGACAACACCAATTCCAACTATAACAACAGCTGTTACGACGGATACGACAGTGACCTCAGTGACTGCAGTGACATCGGTGACAGCGTCAATACTGATGCTGGGGTTCCCGACGAGGAGGAGACCCTGCCTTGAGAGAATAGCATAACAGAAGATGGTACACCCTACAAACAGGGGAGATAGGATGAGGACGACAGCAGCTTCAGAACTGTCAATCATGGAAATGACTCAGATGGAAATGTAGGTGTTGATGCTGCGCTTCCCGAAGAAGTTAAACACATAAATTAAAACGATAATCTTAACCACTGGCTCCATTTACTCTGCTCTCCTGTACTCAGCTGCCTCTCCATTGATAATGGGGGAATGTGGACGGCTTTGAGGTGGTGACATCACAGATTCTGTACTTTGATCTGCTATGATTAATTTCTCAGCATTCATTTCCAACAACAAATACCTTCTGTAGTTTGTTGTGTCGTGTGCTTTAAATCATCCGTGAGCTTCCCCTTTAATAAAAACATCGAAAACAACTCATGCTCCTCTGGAAAGTGTAGTTTTCATCGCCACTTCCTGTCCTGCGTGAGAAGCACGTGTAAACTACATTACCCTTCACGCAACTCGGTCGTAACAGCTGATCGTCGACTTCCGGTGTCCAGTCGTGCCGCTTCAGTGTCAGAAGGAGTTCGAGGATTCATGTTGTCGTTTTGTTTTTTTGAGACACCGACTCAGAGGAACATGTCTGAACACCAGAGCTTCCAGTTTGGAAAGTCTCGTTTCAACCAGGTACCAGTTTCTCTCTCGTGTCTCAAACCAGGAAGTGAACTCGCGTGCAAACAGCTGGAACTGGGTCTGCACGTGTTCTGTGTGTTTTAAACGTAATGTCAAGTTATTTTTAATTACACACTCAGTTATAATAGTTCAGGTGAGAAACCTTCGTGAACCTTCACAAACAGTCAGTGTGTCAACATTAGCGTCAGGGTGGTCGGACTAGTTTTTGTCCCGCGATCAAACAGTTTGTGGAGAAAAGATGAAGATAGAAGAGAATGTGTTAGAATTAGACAAACGATTGAAAACAACAAGATGAAACAAACATAACTCTGCACATGAGCACTTCTAACCTCCCTGTGACCCGAGTTTAAAGTTCAAATGCTGTTTGGAACCTTGAACGCAGCACAAGATAAATCCCTAATGTTTTTCTCAGTTGCCCCAAAAATCACAGAAAACTGTGGAAACTCTGATTGTCTCTGTGTTTAAGCTTCTCGCTCTGTTTGAGAGTTCATGACCCTGAGTGAACGGGTTCAAAGTTCAAAGTGCTGAAACCTTCAATGCAATGTTTATACAAAAGGCTCAAACAAACCTTTTCGTAGTTGGAAAATTCAAACTGGTCGAGTTTGAGTGAAACTGGTGAGAAATATAATTCAACAGATGTATGAAACTATTCCTCCGTCCATATGTTCAGGGAGTCTCTGAGCAGATTTTCATTAAATTAGCAGACAGTGTTATTAAACTGGACGTGGGGCCTATCGAGGCTGCGTGGTGTGCTGCTGTATTTCCAAATTATTATTAATTATTCCTTATGCTCGGTAATGAATAGATGATGGGAGGGTGTTTGTGGTGCACTCATTATAGGAAGTAATTGCAAATGGTGTGAGTAGATTCGGCTCCTTTAAAAGATAAGAAACAGTCGTAGGATTAATGAGGAGGCTCCGTGTGTGGAAACAGCTGGCACGCTGTGACATCAGCTGAAATCTGTCTCACTCTCAACCAAACAATCTGACTTAGTTTCTTCTCTTTCAGCCCTAAACGTGTTTTTATTGTTCGAGTCTCTGAACCTTTCCATCCCAGCTCAGGTGTTCCTGTGATGACACGTTGAAGTTGCAAATGTAAAGACGACCCCATGCGTTCTCATGACCCCTCTCTCGCTGGCGACGGGGTTTCAAACGTTTCATTTTCATCCTCATGTGTTTTCTGTTTCTTTTCAGAACACGTTTTTTGGTCGCTTCAGACACTTCCTGGATGTGATTGACCCCAGCACCCTGTTTGTGACGGAGGTACACAGACTCATTCATTTCCTCTGCCAAGGAGGTTTTGTTTTCTGCCCATTTATTTGTTCGTCGGCAGGATGATGGAATAACTACCTGGACAGCTTTCCAGGAAATTTGGTGGCAGGATGTGTTTCGTGTTCAGGTCTGAATCAGGAAATGGATCAGAGGGTGTTTTTTTTTTTTTTTTTTAACTTTTCCGTTCTTTATTTCACTGTTAATAATTCATGGATCTTGATTTTAAGGAAGTCAGACTTATTTAGGGGGCTGGTATGATTAGTGCTCGATTAAATTTAAAAGACTGTTGAGCCTTGTGCCAGCCTCTCTTGAAACCTGAGTTTAACTTTCTCTTAATCTCTGTTTATCTTAAAAAGTTCCTTCACAGCTGATGCTTTATATCTTCCAAATGTCGGTGTAAGTTTTTTAAGGGAGGGATACGAGTTTCTGCTTCAGGCTGTCTGTTCTTGTCTGAGGACTTGAACTGTCCTGCTATTTTCCATTTAGCTATGTTTGGTTTTGCCTGAGGGATTATGACAATTGACAGAGATGAGATGCTGCTATTAACTAAAATACACCCTCAAATGATCTCGTATTGCAGATTCATTCAATATGTGTGTTTTTGGCAGAGACTCATTGTGATTGAGAGTTAAATGCACAGACTGTACGTAGACCATGACTGTGTTGAGGAGTCAGAGCAAAAATGGAATCTGTGAAAATGGACAAAATCCAGTTTCGTCAGAACCTTCACGTAGTTTTCCCGTTTTGATCTGTAGTTTTTTTTTATTCTGTGCCATCAAAGTTATCACAGCATGTTGTTTAATATGATAAAAAAATATATCAGGTATATTTCCCTTTATTGTGCTTTTCATTCACTGTTTTTGACAAAATCAGATGAAACAAAGAACAAAGAAGCAGCTTTTCTTCACATTTGACGATTATTTCACAAAGTCTGAGTCAACATGTAATATTAAACACCACAGAGCGTTTACTGAATTGCAACTTGGTCATTTGAGTGTTTAAACTGTCCCTGATGTTAAAATCATTTAATACGGATCATCTCTCTGACTGGGAACATATCTGTGACCTTTTGGTTTTCAGGCTGTTCTCTCTCTAAACGCTGTGCGGCTCTGCACATCCCAATGTTTCCCCCGGTCTCGGCTGTGTTGTGATAATTTCGCTCACAGAGTCTTCAGCGCTGTGGTTCTCTGGGTAATGAAGCCGTTAGCAGGCTCTTTGGTGACAGTAATAGCGAGAGTAGCTCCGAGGATGTGATGAGGTGTGGACAAGTGGGGCAGCTGTGATGGGTGGAGAGAGTGTATGCACACGCACACGCACACACACACACACACACACACACACACACACACACACACA